TTCTCCCAGTGTCCTGACCAACAATCACCCAAATAAAATAAAGTTTCATGACTGTTTGTGCGACGTTGCTATCAATTAGCTGCTGGGTTTGCCTACAAATACACTGTGAAGCTCTTTGGGCTATCCTCCTGATGTGAAAGGTGCTATACCAAATGCAAGGATTATTATTCTTATTCTAATTATTATTATCCAAGCATCTATCCATCTGTCTGTCTGCTTGCCTGCCTGCCTGCCTGTCTGTCTATCTATCTCTCATTTAAACATCCTGATCTATTTCATCTCCACAGCTTTCTAAGGCAATGCAATCCACATGTTTAGATAAATTGCTTTAGCCAACAGCAGTGACATGGCTTAATTCCTCGCAGAGGCCTTTCTTCAGAGATTCTGAGGGCTGACATTTCACACAGACTTAATTTAGGGTTCGTTTTTGTGAAATTTCATATTTTCAGAATTTTCAAAAGATCTTAAATTCAGTTATAATATGGAAGATGTTTCTCTGCTGTTCTTTTCAACATCTGTGGGAAAGCAGCTCTCCAAATTGAAACTGAATTGAGGATTTTTTCAAAAATTCTCCTTGATCTGAAATGTTAAGACAATGGCCTGAAGGATGACAATAAGAATTTGGTTTTATAATAATAATAATAATCCTTGCATTTGATATAGCGCTTTTCACGTCGGGAGGACGTTCCAAAGCGCTTCACAGAACACAGTGTAAAGCGAATTGACTGTATATTTGTGGGCGAACGGGGCAGCCAATTGCGCACAGCAATGTTCCACAAACAGTCGTAGATTGAAAATGACCAATTTATTATTGTTTTTGGTTTTGGAGGGATTATTATTAGGTGTGTGGAGTAAGGAAACTTGCCCAAGGTTTCGCCCTGCCTGGAATTGAACTCAGGTCTCTCGCTTGCAAAGCGAGTGCTCTAACCACTGAGCTACAGGACTCCAAATTCTTTTGAAGGTGATAAATTTCTTCTGTGATCCTGTTTAGGCCAATATGTAGATGTGCTTTCCTTTTCCAGACCAGAAAGTGAAATTATGTACTTTTCAAGGGCAGAATTTGTGTCTTCTCAGGATAATATCAAATGCAAGGATTATTATTACTCTGGTTATAATCTGTAACTGTGGTTCTTTCTCAGGAGAGTGAGGACTCACAATCACTTGCGTCAATCCCTTAACAGCCTTAGGTATGAACCGTGGCATCAAATGGCCTGGATAAAGGCACTGCATCTATGATTTAATTGAATTTAAGTACTGCATCCACGTAAGAGTTTGAAATCAATACTTAAAACACCATATAACCTCACAAACAGACCTTCAATAGCATAACCCAAGCAAGGCACTTAAATCTGAAGTTTTCACTGTTCAGAAACAAAGGATATTTGAAAAACGGTCCAAAGTCCCTTAGTGTACAGTTCAGGTATTCTGTTCAAATGATCTGGCTGTCTGAATCCCCTTTATTCCCCAAAAGGAGGAAAGAGCTGAAACATCAAATGAAGTGTGAATTAATGTAGCCTGAACCTTCCAAAAAGCATGCACAATTTTGCATAAAAAAGCTAGTTGAGTATTTGACACAAAATCTCTGGAAGCATGGAACCAGAAAGGTCATTCAGCCTAATGAGCCTGTTGCTGCTGGAGAAATAATGCACAATATGAGTATTTGTAGAGCCTTTGATATAAGAATGCAAAAAAGGCTGAAATTACTATCAGAAATGGGGAGTCAGCAATCGATCCTAGTAAGTACTGAGACAGACAATCCTCCACTGACTGAGATCTAGTTTTACACATTACAGGGATTTCTTTTGGCAAAGATATCAAGCAAACCATTGCAAGAATTTTCCTTTTTTTTAATAAATAAAGATATCGGTGTCAAAAAGATTGCTAATGCAAAGTGCCAACAAACGTCCAAATAAAATTGGTCGTTCGTTTCATGGCTGTTTGCGGGACATTGCTGTGCGCAATTGTGCTGCTGTGTTTGCTTACAAATACACAGTCACTTCATTTCACAGTAAATCCTGTGAAGCACTTCAAGATATCCTTCTGATATGAAAAGGTGTTCTATCAAATGCAATTATCATTATTATTATTAAAGTTGTGGATGAGAGTGGGAACGAGTGACAATCAGATCCACGTTACTAAACTGATACTGATTTCTTCCTTACTCCAACACTAGGCTTTCCTGTGTTGGCCAGGACACCGGGAGAAACTTCCTATGTTTCCTATGCTGTATACATATGCCTGCAATAGCGGGGTCCCATTATAATGTGGTAATCAGGCCATAAATTCCCAACTTGTACTATAAAGAGGCACATTCCCGAATCAGCACTTCGACACTCACTGCTCTAACACACAGACTGACAACCAGCTCCATCCGTGCTTCATGTTGGCTGACCCATTTCGAAGCACTGGAGCCAGCGCACCCAATTTGTTTTAGGGGTTCGTAAATGTTGGAATCTACACCACCATTAACTACACACCAACTGTACGTGAACCCTATATAGCAAAGCATATTAGAATTGCGCTCTGAGGCAATTCTGTTTAAATAAAACTGCAACAGATATAATTGGATCAATTTAACAATTCATACTGAATGTGAAATTCACGACCCCCACCCCACCCTCTCACCCGGTGTTAGAATATACACTTTTTGTATACTGCTGGAATCATAATAGATGTTGTGAATGGGTTAACTTTTAAGTTAAGTGTGGGGGCAACTGGACTGACAGTTATGGGATAGGACACATCTGGTTTTCTCTGTTTTTGGAAGAATAACAGACAGGGGCAGGGGGTCACCTCTTATCAGTAAATGACAACGAGCCACAGAGGTAACGGTCCAAGGTACCAGTCGACACAGGATCTCGACTGAGCAGTAAGTCGCTAGATTCTGACAGGGCTGCCAACCGACAGAAGGCAACCCTCAAGAATAGCAACTAATGAGCAAGTTGCTTAAACTAGAGGGCCTTGGTACCATCCCGGGATACTGATAAGGAATAACCAGTCACTTAAAAGGAATGTACTAATGATCCCACACCACAAAATAATGAGCACCAGATACAGCCCTAAACTGATCAATCCTCTATCTTAGACAATTAGATCAGATAACGGGGGTCTTAAGGACAATGTGTATGTGCGCTGAGGCACGTACACCCCATGAGGTGTTCACGTGAACCCAGCATGATTTCGACAGGTGATCTAATGTCCGCACCATGATTGGATGAACATTGGTATAAGAGTTCCATTGACTTTGTGTACGTGGCCGTCCCGGGTCGCGGAGACAAGGATACGGGAGATGGAGCCGTCTCGGGTCGCGGAGACAAGGATACGGGAGATGGAGCCGTCCCGGGTCGCAGAGACAAGGATACGGGAGATGGGGCCATCCCAGGCTGCGGAGACAAGGGTACAGGAGATGGGGCCATCCCAGGCTGCGGAGACAAGGGTACGGGAGATAGAAGACTGAGAGCTAGAAACACTAAGACTGAGGTTATCAGATGGAAGATTGAAAGCTGTAAGCAAGAAGACTGAAAGCATGAAGAATCAAGCTTGTGTGCTGTAAAGACACAGTGTTGAACTCGAGATATCTACGGTGGTATTATTCTGTTATAAGATCTGTTGATTGTACCGGCCTTTGGTCTGACCCATCGGGATATTGGGGAATAACAAACGAATAATAATAAAACAGTCTGATATCTGGTTAAAGGAATTAGCGTTATTTCCTTACAGATTTGGCTGATTTTATTTTCTAACAATTTGGGATTCGGCAGGATACTCTGAATTAATACACTCGGCAGTTGACGTGTTTATGAGTCCGGTACGACCATAACTAGTAAATAGTTGGGACGGTGGACATGGTACTCGCAGAAATTAGGTGTCCGGTACGACCGTAACTAGTAGATAGTTGGGATGGTGGCCGTGGTACTCGCAGAAATTATATGTCCGGTACGATCGTAACTAGTAGATAGTTGGGACGATAGCCGTGCCTGCGGGCAATTAACCGAGTGTATTAACCCATTGGGATTCTGAGTATTAAAGAACCTGTATGATTCATTTGAGCGTGTGTCTCTGATTTGATTTTCTTACACCAGTGCATTGTGTTAACATAAAATAGGAGAATTAAATTTTTGGAATTCAGATTAAAAGATTACAACAAAAAGCTTAATCCATTATAAATCTGTTGTAGGTGTCAGCCTGAGTCAGTTGCTGCTCAGTCAGAAGGCTGTGGGTTCAAGATTACATCAGAAGTCTGAGCTCATAGTCTATGCCAGGCCCAAGCTAACAATTTAATACATTCCTTGAGGAATGGTGCATTGTTGAAGATGCCATCCTTTGGATGAGACGTTAAACCAAGGTCCCGTCAGCTTGATGGACGTTAAAGATCTCAAGGCGCTATTTGAAAAGAAAAGGAAGTTTCTCCCGGTGTCCTGGCCAACAATTGGTCTTTCACTCTATGACTGTTTATGGGACATTGCTCTGCGCAACTGTGGAGTCCTGTACCTCAGTGGTTAGAGCACTCACTTTGCAAGTGAGAGACCTGAGTTCAATTCCAGGCAGGGAGAAACCTTGGGCAAGTTTCCTTACCCCACACGCCTAATAATAATCCCACCAAAAAAAAACAATAATAAATTGGTCATTTTCAATCTACGACTGTTTGTGGGACATTGCTGTACGCAATTGGCTGCCGCGTTCGCCCACAAATATGCAGTCAATTCACTTTACAGTATATTCTGTGAAGTGCTTTGGGACGTCCTCCCGACGTGAAAAGCGCTATATCAAATGCAAGGATTATTATTATTATTATTATTCACTGGCTACCGCATTGCCTCCACAATCCATACAGCTAAAACCACTTTACCGTATGTCCTGTGAAGTGCTTTGAGATGTCTAGACGATGTGATAAGGTTTTATATCAAATGCCAGGATTATTATAATAATCTTGCAGAATTTGCTTTGTACCAACTGACAAATTTACCAGGATCACACTGCTGAGGAAAATGAAAAGTTACCTGACATTTGTGTGTCTCTTCACATACAAATTGTGGAAGTTGTTGGTATTTTCCAACTGGCAGTAACCAGACTTCGGCCCCTGTAATCGTTGAATAATTTCAGCCTTCATCTCCATGGCAATATGTGCAGGGAGCAAGGAAAGTAAAAGACGTTCCTGGGGAATGGGCGGGGGGGGGGGGGGGGGGGGGGGAGCGTGGGCAAAGAGGGAGAAGAGACAGACAAAAAGACCATAAATTAAAATGTTTCATAATAATATTTTCTGACCACATGCCTTTGTCAATATCTATATAAAAAAAATTTTAGTTGCTAAATATTCAAAGTGGAGAGAGAGAGGTCAAAAAAGTTGCACCAACACAGAATACAAAGCATATAATTGCGATATAACTGCAATATTATTATTATTATAAATCACTTTTGTCCAAAACTCTGCAGTTTTTATTTCTTTATATTTCAGTTTTAAATAGATTTTCTTATGGTACATATATCATTTAATAAAACCAAGAAATGCCGGAATTGAATTGAAGTGGGTGAGTTGGCAAATGGCTCTTTTACATTCCGCGTATTGATGTGCCAACAAGTCCCAGTTTAGATCTGCACAGAAGAAGCTCATTTCTCTGATGGGTAATGAATAATTTGTTTGAAAAAGTCCATTTGCATTATGCTTTCACATCACCTTTGATCTCTTTCTCTCGCCGCTTTGAACATTCATTTACTGCTTCCGCACTACAACCTTTATAGATCTTAGAAGAAACAGGAAAATACTGAATGCAACAGTCATTTATCATCTTACCATTGTAGTTGTTCAGAAAAGGTAACATAGCTGCATTATTACATTTAGAGAAATATGATGTTACATAGCCTCAAAACAAACTCATGTCTTTTATCTTGTTACTTACTGGTGGTGGCAAATACTTAAAGCTGTTTGCTAGGTCACTGTGATGTTTTTTTATAATCATAGTCACATTGTTAGTTTGCTATTCCTAGAAGTCATATCTCATGTTAAGGCAATTTGCACATGAAATAGATGCAGCTAGTAACCATGGAGAAACTGCATTCAACCATCTTAAATATCATAATTCGCACATTTCATGCTATGGAATCAAACCAATACTTTGTAACCAAATATCAATCTAGCATTTGGCAGGCAGAAACCTGCCAGAAACTCAATTTACATAATGAAATTGGTTTCTTCCTCTCAACAGAGAGGATTGAGTTGCGTCATGTTATACCTAAAACCCAGTTCATTGGGGGAAAATTCCACCTGGGTTTGGATTCACTCTATTCAGCATTTTAGAACATCCTGAATGACGAAAATTGTTGAATTCAGTCTTAGCTTTGAAGTTACTTTTCTGTAGTTCTTGAAAAGAACTCTTAGAACAAAACACCTTCAAAATTAAGGTTGTGTTTAACAATTTGTCAAATTCTGGACGCTCTTAAAATGCTCTATAAATAAAGTAAATCTTGACTCAGATGAAATTTCTCCCCATTGATGTTTAACCAGGCTGAATAAGCCAAATAGGTCTTGGTATTTTGCAGTTATAAACAATATATACAAGTCAGTCTTATTTGTTTCCCATGTTCATTTTTTGCAAAGAAATGAAAGTATGAATGAATTTTTATTCTGAAAGCAATAGCTATTCTAATCACTTTATTTCTACCTTGCCCCCTCCCCATCAACATTTCTGTTCTAATGTTATCCCTCCTCTCTTTTTTTGCCTCTATTAGGGTATAGCTTCATGGAATATGGTTGCTGTTCTGTACCTCCTCAAAGTGGCCATTATTCCTGTATCAAACTTGAAAGTGAGTTTGTAGGCTGATCGACTATGAGACGGAATTGCAGTTAAACCTGATTCAGTCCCACACATGGAGAAGGAACCCTGGTCGATCTTCACCTTCACTAAACTGGAGTACTATGGCAGGTTGTAGCATTTTAAATAGTGCTCCAGGTAAGGTTAAGTAACACAGCGAAGAGCAGGGATTGAGCCCATGATCTTGTGCAATCTGATTTAGTGCTGTATAATAATAATAATAGTAATAGAGTGGTGCCTTTATCCATTGTACCACTGATAGAGTTTTAATTTCATAATTAGACAGTCATCCAGCTCCTTTTTAAAGGAATTGATCAACATGAATATAAAATAGTTATATTTTTATGTTGCTATGTTATATTAATCATGTCATGCTGATCAAATGAGGAAGTATTGGATCAGTGGAGTATATGGGAAAGGGGATTAGGAGGAATGAAGGCTCATGTAGACTGTAAACACTGGCACCGACTAGTTGTTTGTTACTGTACTATAAGAGTCTGCGTAATAACAGCAACTGATTTTGATGAGAGTCTATTCCACAAATCTACCATATGAGGAACAAACATTTTTCCATTCCCGTGAGATGTGTTCATTTTCTACTTATATCCTCTAGTTCTGCGGTGAAAAAAAGTTGAGTTCAACAAGTTTGTTTTCTGAACTGTTGTAAGTAGTAAAATAAACCCTATTGCATGCATTCTTCACTGAACTTCATACTGATGTACAAATCACTTCATGCCCTGGCACCTTGCTCCTCACCGACCTGCTTATACCTCAATCCTCTACTCCCTACCCCCATTCCCCCTTCTGACCTCCTGCACATCCCTTGTCGTCTCTGCTCCACCACTGGAGACTGTGCTTTCAGCCACTAGGCTCCAAGACTTAAGAATTCTGCCTCAATCCCTCTGCCGTTCCTCCACCTGAAGACCTGCCTCTTTGACAATGCCTAGGTCACTTCCCCTCTCTCTCTCTGGCTCAGTGCTAAGCTCTATCTTTGTTAAATACTCCAAAATGCTACCCCACATAAAGGGGACTATATAAATGGAAGTTGTTTTTGAATCATCTCCAATGAATCAATATAATTTTGAAGGTAAGGTGTCCAAAATTGCAATGAATCCAATTCTGGTCTAAATAATGAGTTACACAGAAAATAAATAAATTTCATTACTTTTGATCAAATGTCCTTGAGATACATGTTAGAAAATGCCAAACCTATTCAGTCGTTTTAGAATTTGCAAGCATCATTTCTAAAGACAATTGAACAACAAGATGCATTCATGTAGCGTCCTTCACTTAGGATAATGTCTTCGAGCGCTGTATTATGACGAATTACCACATTTTCGATTTCCTATTCTCATAATATTTCAATTCAACATATTCATTAAAGAATCCAACTGACCTTAAATATTCATTGTGTTTTTTTTATTTAGCTGAAAAAATATCTTGCTACTATCCATTCTTCTACATTTCTATTATCCTCTCACGCTTTTTCTCCTGAATCAATGCATTTATCACATTGAAAGCATTCACAGAGGACTCAGTCCTCTTCCACCTATTGGTGCAGTTGATGCCAAGCAACAATTTCCAAAGTCACAATCTTCCCATATGTAAGGAAATAATTAAAATAACTCTGCGGAAAAGGACTGATTGACTTATCTCACAAAATTTAATTATTTAGGAAAAAATGAATAATACTTTCCTTGGCTTTGAGTCCCCATCTCACTGGTTGGGGCCTCTGATAAGGAGAGAAAGAGAGAGAGAGAGGGAGAGAATGGAGGCTGACTGACTATAAGTATGAGCTGGTGTCTTTGTTAGGACTGCTGAAATTCTCCCAGAGAAAAGCTGGCTAATTAAATACCTAATTCTCTACTTAGTTGAGCTTTATCTGGCAGATATTGTTTTAAAACTGCGTTATTATTATTTGACAATCTGAATTGTCCTCCCGATGTGAAAGGCGCTATACAAATGTAATTTGATGTTGAATAAAATTAATTATTGTTTTCCATATTCAATGTCAACATTTGAGTTATTACCTGCCCCGGTAAACCCTACACGCACAATCTGTGTATCTCATGACCTGTGATAATGTTTGGCCACTCTACTTCATCCTTCATTCCCTTAAACAATCTGGGAGACACTGAGCTCTTTAGCCGGTCTCCTGACAATCTCAAGTAGATCTTTTGTTTTGATTCTTTGTCTTCCTGAGCCACTTTTCCATTTTGCTTCTACTTGTACAATCAGTTCTTCCACAATAACTATTACATAACTGGATTGCAATGTCAGAGCATTGAACGAATACAATAAAGTCCTCTTAGAAACAAGTGTCTTCCCCACATTCCCTTCCATTTTCCAAGCAGTTGGTAATGTTAGCGTATCTAATTTAGTACTCTGACACCTCTTTCTATTCTTTCTTTAATCTTCTGTGTAGCAGGCATTACCCTCTGAGCCTGTCGCCTAGATTGCTGCCAATGTGGGATTCCAAAACAAAACAAATTAAATGACAAAATGTGTGAAAACTCAACAGTTTTAGCAAAGGAAACAATGTTCGAAATTGAAACAAAATAAATGAAAGCAAGTACAAATACTAGCTCCAATTAAGTATAAGACAGTGAAATCTTGTTTGTCAGTCTCAAAATAGTTTTTTTCAATACAATGCTTGTACGTTGTGTGCTTATATAGAAATTTACAGCACATATGAAGGTCATATGGCTCATTTTTTTTGTGCTGGCTCTTTGAAAGAGCAATCCATTCAGTCCCATTCACGTGCCTTTACCCCATAGTGGAATCCTGTAGCTCAGTGGTCAGAGCACTCGCCTCGCAAGCGAGAGACCTGGGTTCTATTCCCGGCAGGGCAAAATTTGGGCAAGTTTCCTTACTCCACACACTTGTTTACCGAGCAGTGAGTAGGAATCGATTGTTAGTCGATTGGTGGATCACTTTTATGGGGGTAATAATCCCTCAAAAAAACCATAGTAATTTGGTCACTCAATCTACGGCTGTTTGTGGGACACTGTTGTGCGCAATTGGCTGCCGTGTTTCGCCCACAAATTTACAGTCAATTCACTTTACAGTATATTCTGTGAAGCACTTTGAGACGTGTAGAAGATGTGAAAAACGCTATATCAAATGCAAGAATTATTATATCCTGCAAATTGTTCCTTCTTAGATATCTATCTTGTCTCTTTTTTAAAGCTAATATGGGTTCTGCCTTGAGCACTACACATCCCCAGGTATTACTGGTCAATCAGTTAGTGACGAGAGGGTAGTAGTTTAAGATAGTTAGCAAACAGCAAGTGGGGAGGTTAGAAGCAATGTTTTCATGCACAGAATAGTTAGGATGTGGAATGCT